ATACCCATGGAGAAGAGAAGAGAAGAATGGATGCATGGTGTTTGCAATCACTTGTTTCTCCCACTATTATGTAGTTCAGGATCCCTGGCTAGGAAGTGGTGTCACCTTCAGTAGGCAGGGCTTCCTCAATGTAATCAAGACAATCCCTCACAGACTTGTCCACAAGCCAATCTGATATCTGCTCTGGATAATCCCTCATTGAGACTGTCTTCCAAGGTGCTTCTAGATTGGTTCTAGTTGATGATTCAAACTAATCATCATGGGTAGAGGTATCAAAGTGATAAAGATGTTAACTCCTTAATAAAGAGATAAAAGAGAAGGCAGATTGTTAACAGCATTCATTCGTTCTTCAAATGTCATCAGTTTGCATGCAGGGCTATTGCCACACATTTGTATCTTCTCTCTGTAAATTGTTTCATCATTTAGAAAGGCCTCACATACACTAAGTCCTTCAGCCCTCACACAGCTGGAAGGTGTGTGGTCACACCCCATTTTACCTTTAAAGGGAGATGCAATGAGATTCCTAAAGCTACCCCTGGGCCTCTTGATCTCTGGCCTGGTCCTCCACTTGGCTGTCCCTCCTCAAGTGTCAGCACTGCCCGATAAGAACCAGACCCCAACTATTCTCAAGGAGATCAGGGATCTGCCTGGGTTCACACACCAGCCTGGTCAGGTCTGGACTGCTTCTTGCTGACAATTTCTCTTCTGAGTTTGTCCCATGCCACCTTTCTGGCAAAGATTTCCACTGGTGAGAGCTGTTGGTGGCCTCTGGAGGTGCACAGTATGCTTATTCACTCCAGAGGCATTGTCTGTAAGCTGACTTAGCCACTGTGAAGGTCTAGTGGACTAGAACTCAGAGGTCACAAACATCCCAAACTTGTCTGTTGTTATAGCTGCGATGGAGGCTGCCCTTCAAATGGCTGGGGTGATAGTGTTTCAGCTTCAGCCCTGATGAATGGTGGGAGAGCACCTGCAGTCAAGCAAGCTCCTTCTACCACTCATTGGCTTGCTTATCCAAGATCTCACTGGGTATCCAAGCTTGTCTCTTAGCTCCCTACTCAGCTCCAAGGTGGCACCTAAACCTCGTTACCCATTGAGCTGATGCTCTCAAGGTTGGATCACAGGAACCAGGCAATAGATTCTTAAATGTATTATCACCTGCCCAAATATCCAATGAGCTCTGGTTGTTACAATCCTTGTCTGGATTTGCTAGTGGTATTTAAAATCTCTACATAGCATTGTTAAAAACAAGCCGTTCACAATCTTCTCCACTCTTCCCAAAAGAGATCATCTGTTTCTGGGCCTGGTTTTTCTTGGAAGTGCAGACAGTTCTTTTTTCATGATATCAGATTTGTGACAAAAATCCTCATGCTGTCCCCCCAGTACCCTTTTTGGGGTCGACACTTATTGTGGTATGACAACCTTCAGAATAAAACATCCTCCAAGTCTTGGGTCTCATCTCATGTTCAGAATCAACCCCCAACTTTTCAAAGGCTGTCCCTTCCCATTTCCTGCTAAGATATACTCACCCCTCATTGTGTCTGTTTGGAGTTTGTTTTTTGTTTTGTGTTGTCTATCTCATGGTTGATGTGTCTAAACTTGACTGATTCAATTTTTATTCTTTGTCCTCTGTCTGCCCTTGCTCTGGTCTCTCCAGTTTAAGAAAAGGCTTGACTTGCTAAAATGTGATTTCTCTCCCTCTTTCTTTGAGCCAGGGAAAATTCCAAGGAGAGTTAAGGTGAGAAAAGAGGAAGGTATCTCTGGCAGTGAGCAGTTTTGAGACTACCAGTCACGTGTCCATTCTGTGTGATCACAGAGCAGTGACTGGATTGACCGGGGTTCCAGGCTTTCCCCTTAGCTCTACAGTCTTCAGTATAGATGGCATGAAGCTTCACCAAAAGAGTGCTTCCATCCCATTTATTACAACATTTGGCTTTATAAGCCCTAGCCGCCTTCTTCCTTCCCTGTCTCTCTGTGTTGATGTTTATGTGAATCCCCTTTGTACATTTTGAGGACTCACCTTTTGGTTTTTGTTTGTTTTTTTTCCTCCTTTGGCAATAAAGCTATGTGTGGTGATATACAGCTATTTCACTAAGAATCTTCTCACTTGAAACTAATTTGTGAGACTCATAAAGACAGTATTAAAATAAAGGACCACACTCATACAATCTTTTCAGAGAACAAGTCCATAAATGTAATGCTAGACAGGCAGGCAAAGAGAACATTACCTTGGCTAGCCTCGGTCTGCCTTGTACGGACTCATATTCTCTCTCTTTTTTCTCAGAACCTCCTCCTCACTCTTCTTTATGTGGTTAGTATTAGAAAAAGCACAAATGATATTTTCTTACAGGTGCTGTTGCCCACCTTCTAAAAGCATCAACAGTAAATGCACTTGAATTCTTCCAAGCAGTGGGTTTTCCTCAAAGCCAACCCTCACAGGGTGGTACCACTCACTTAGATCGCTTTTTCTTTGGGCTCCTGCAACTTCTGCATGCTCTGGTCCCACATGTGGCTGCTTCTGCCTAGTTTCCTAGCTTGGCCCCTTCACACCAACCACAGGACCTCTCATTACATTCTAGATATATGGAAACCCGTGTTTCGTAACAGCTGCACTGTTGACATTTTGAGTCAATAAGTCTTTGGAGGTGAGAAGAAATCCTTCATTTTAGGGCATTTAGTAGTGTCCCATCCTAACCACTAGATGACAATGGCACCCCTTGTCCAAGTTATGACAATTAAAAAAAAAATGGATTCCCTGGAGGAAAACTCTTACCTTGTTAAAAAACAAAGTCTTATAAAAAAAAAAAAAAGATAACTGTTTCTTTGGCTGTTTACATCCAATAGAGTTGAATGTGGTACCTCAGTGGAAGCCGATTTGCATTATTTGTGATTTGTGGATCAAATGCAGACTCCTGATAAATTCCAGAGTAGAAACTGTATTTCCTTACCTGCTTCCTGAAGAGCCCTTTTCGGTGGTTCAAGATATCCTCTGCATGTGGGGTGATGTGACTGCAGGCTCTGCCTCTGCTGACATTTGCTTTGAAGTGCTTTGGGTTCTTGCAAAGAAAAGCATCATGGGAATATACAGTTTGAAAGCTGAAGCTTTGTTGCTCCATGTATAGGAGTGAGACTGATAATGATGAGTGTGTTTCATTGCCTGTATGGACAACACAGAGTGACTTAAAGACATTCCTCCCACCATACAACATCACCACACAGAACTCTGCCCTTACCACATAGACACCCCACACATTGCCTCCCCCATTACTGCAGTATGAAATGTCCTTGAGTTTGGAGTACATAACTGCTTATTAAGTGATAATACTGGAAAGGGATACTGTTGTTTTTGAAGACCTTGCTTTAAACTTAGGACATGTTTTCTACCTCCTTAGACAATTATTTGCTGAGAAAAAAAGTAGGAAAATTATAATGAAATGAGATTCTCTAGAAAACCCATTTAGAAGATAGAAGGGATAAGAAAATACAGCCCATGAGGCTAACAGATCTTAGTTTAAAATAATAATACTAATAATAATATGTACTGAACTGTGACCAAGCACTGGGTTCTATGTAGAACTTGACAGCAAACCTTTTTAACATCATGAGGGGGGAGATACAGTTCCTCTCTCCACACTATAAAAGAGAAAATTGGGTAGATTCCACCTCACAGATTACCTAGAACTGCCCTCTGCTACAGATCCAAGAATGCCTCTCTGGGTTAAAACATGCTGATTTGCCGGGCAGTGGTGGCACACGCCTTTAATCCCAGCACT